CACATGAAGTGGACTGCACAACGACAAACATCACACACTGCTACATCGAATATGGCCACACTTTTGAGGCGGGGATGAGCAAGCAGCTCTCGGCCTTCATCAAGGGACACGAAGATGGCGACAGAACGTTGTTGGTTGACGGCGTGGATAGCAACGGCCGTCCGATCTCGCGCACGGTGATGCTCAGCGAGGAACCTCAGCCAGGGCACAAGTTCGGGGGATCCATGGGAGAGTGCGAAAAGCTGTGTACGGCATTTGCGAAGGAGATCGTGCAGAATCTGAAGAGGCGAATGTGGGACATGCAGAGGATGGCCGGCACGAAGCTCTTCAAAGTCGAAGCGTGGCCGAAAAAATTGGAGCAGCGGGAACGTCGGTGCAGTGAGTCGTTGGCGGAGAACGCCGCCCTTGTCACATGTGTACGCGACATGAGCAACCCTAAGCCCAACAGTGTTCTTATTCAATGACTACTGTTTTGCATGGCCAACTGTTTCGCAGGGTTTGACATCCGGGCAACAGAGCTGAAGCTGAAGACTTTCTGCCATATGCTGAAATACCACCACGCTGACGATGACTTCCACCAGGGGCTACAACGCATGCTGAAGTCTAAGGACTGGCCACGCAGCTACCTTAACCTAGTGACGATGTGGCAAGCACTCACGGTGCTGCCGCTAAGCACCGTTGAGTGTGAACGGGGTTTCAGCAGGCCGAACGTCATTAGAAGTTGGGTGCGAACTTCTCTCTGCGACGCCAAGCTGAGCGAGCTGATGACCATGCACATGCTGAACTAGACCCCCAACTGGCCCGACGTGGTCGACATCTGGCGGAAACAGAAGAACCGCTGACAGGCGAAGAACCCCACCCCTGCACCGCCCACACACGGGAAAGGAATTGAGAAGATGGCCATGGAATCTTCGGACGATAGCGCAGCGGATCTGTTTGCAACTGACTATGAATCGGACTGAGTTTTGAAGTAACACTTCTTAATGAAACAACAATTGATCTGCCATGCCAATGTCAAAACACATACCGTATTGCCCCGGATAGTAGCGCATATGCGCTTATAATAAAATCATTTTTTAAAGGGGTGGCGCTTATAATTGAGTAACGGCCATAAGCGCCGGCGCATTTATAAAGGCAAAAATGAATTTCAAATATAAAGGTACTAAATTGAAGCTCTCATTAAGGCGAATACAAATATGTGACGTGCGCATGGGATCGTGCATGGAATCCCGGCGAAACTTGCCGCGGTTCGTTTTCCCACCGCACAAAACCTGTCCCGGTGCAACGCACCTGCCAGCGCTGACGCGGAGCTTGCCGTGCGGCCCAATCAGGTTGTCATGCGCTGCCAGGCAGGAGCATCTCAGCCGAACCCTCTAGAAGGGGGTGGAATATGCTCTGCCAGCGCAGCATGGATGGTGCCATGAACCCTCCTCTGCGGGTTCAGGCAGGGGGGTCCCCTCGTTCATTGACGAGGACCCCGAGGCGCTAAGCCGAAGGGGTCCCTTTCAATCCTTAATTTCTTCACTCTTTCATCCACTTTTTCCATCAGTTTCCAGTTCTCTCCCGCCAGGCTGCGAAAGCCATGGCGGAATTCACCGGCACCCATTTCTTGTTCAAGAAAAAGCCTACCGCTAGGCCCGCGTTTAGAGTTGACGCTGACGGATGGTATTCCCGTATCCCACCGGAGCCACCACAACCTCCTGCGCCTCCTGCGCCGCCAATTCCTCCTGCGCCTCCTGCGCCTCCTGCTCCTCCCGTTCCTCCTTCTCCTGTGTATCCCGTGCCTCCTGTGGTTACGGGCAATCAGCCCGTGCTCACGCTCCTTCTCCCATCGGCGTTCGACGAGTACCTCTCGGAACCGGACTGCGACAAGCCCCCAGATGAGTACGTAGAAGCTCCAGCCCCGGCACCACGATGGGGACAACCCGACGACTGCACCTGGGACGAATCTGCCGTCGGAGCAGACGACGAGGCGGCTGCCGCCGAGGAAGAGTGGCACGCTGAGCGCGACAACGGCGGCGAGGGTGGCACGGAGGGTGGCACCCAGGCCGGCACCGCGGAGGATGTGTTTCCCGAGGGTGCTCCGGGCGGCGACGACGACGACGTCGTCGAGTATTGGTCACGCGATGGGCTTCCCGAGAAGCTCCCGATACCCTCTTTCCCTCCTATTAATCGCAAGCGGCCACACCCTTCTTCACAGAACCGTGATGCCCGCCCCCCCTCTCCCAGGCACAAGATGAACGAGCACAAGCGTCAAGCCTACACAGCCGCCGAGAAGTTGAAGTGGGTCGCGCGGCTGGATGTTGCGGTGTCGGTACGCTCTTTGGCTCGTGAGAGCGGCATCCATCGCAAATGTCTCTCTAACTGGAAGCGCGCTGCGGACTTCCTCAAAGAGGTACACTCGGCCCGTAAGCGCATGCATGGTCGCGGGCGAGCGTCTTGGTACCGGCCGATGGAGCTGAAGGTCTACGAGAGGCTCCTCGAGTGGCGTCGCAAGGGAACCGCGGTATCCGTCGGCCGCCTGCAGGAATGGTCTCGTGAATTCATGAAGGAGCTCTTCCCCGACGAGAAGTGGAAGGGGAGCCAACGGTGGTCTGAGCGCTTTCGGCGCCGATGGAATCTCAGCGTGCGCATGAAGACGCGGGTTGCTCAGAAAACCGCGGCCCGTAAGATTTTGTGTTTTCGGGATTCGTTGTACCTCGTTGCTTTTTTATTACTAACCCTTAGTTGTTGTGTTGCCCCATCGTCTGCCGTATCACAGATGTCGCGGAGCAGTGCAGGAACTTCTGGCGCTTTGTCCGTGAAAAGCGCCGTGAGCGCGGCATCGACACCGCGTGGATCATCAACGCGGACCAAACGCCGCTCTGGCTGGAGATGCCCGCCACCACCACCGTGGACCAAACCGGCGTTCGGTCGGTGCCGATCAGAAGCGCGGGGTACCAGAAGGAGAGAGTTACCGTGATGCTGGCGTGCACGGCGGACGGGGTCAAGCTCAAGCCTTGGGTATTTTTCAGGCGGAAGACCGTGCCGAAGGGCGATTTCCCCACTGGTAAGTCATGGTGATTGTTGTTGTGCCCTGTTCTGTTTCTTCTCTTTAATCGACTGACAACTTGTTCATCTACGCCTGTGCAGATGTGGTCGTGGCGTGCCACGAGAACGGGTGGATGGACGCGGAGGGCGTCATCCGATGGCTTGAGGAGTGCGTCAAGCCTTTCTTGAAGCCGCGGTTCGGCAGGTGTGCGAAGAGCTCCATGCTGGTGCTGGACAGCTACCGTGGTCACCTTACCGAGGGGGTGAAGGAGAAGTTCCGCGAGCTCAACTGCGTGCCGGCGGTCATCCCGTTGGGGTCCACGGCGGAGGTTCAGCCCCTCGACGTCTCCATCAACAAGAGCTTCAAAGCTTCAGTCCGCCAGCAGTACCAAAAGTGGTTTCAAGAAGAGGGCCAGGAGCAGCTGACAGCAGCAGGTACGCTGTAAGCGAGATGCATATGCATGTTAAACCACCTCCCCTCCCCTTTGTAGCTCTAACGGCTATCCGTGGTGTTATTGTCCGTGCAGGGAATCTCAAGAAGCCCCCCCCAGCAGTGGTCCTCCGATGGGTCTCACGGGCATGGAAGGTCGTGCCCGCCGACCTCATCAAGCGCGCCTTCCTCACTCGTGGCATTAGCAACGCTCTTGACGGCAGCGAGGACGGCCTCGCCATGGCGCACAGGCGGACCCAGTTGACCGCGGAAGTGGATGTCGACGACGATATCATCGCCGATGGCTTCTTTGGCAACAACTGCCAGGAGCCCGAGTCTGACGAGGAGTAGGTACTATAGTTGGTTCCTTGGTAGGGTGGCCTTTGTAAAGGCCTGTTCATCGAGTTCTAAGTAGGCGGATGTACTTGTGGGTGCCAGATTTCTAATGAAATTCCTATGAAACTGTTAGGATTTAATTAAAAAAAAAACATGTTTAAAAGTAGGCGCTTATAATAAGTGAGGGTGCAAAATGGGGTGCGCCTATAATCGAGGAACGGCCATAAGCGCCATGCTCCAGATAGAGGCGCCGGCGCCTTTAATCGGACGGCGCCTATATCCGGGGCCATACGGTAAACCTTAACTGTCCAGTGAAAAAAAAAAAACAAAAAAAAAAAAAACAACCGTGTTGTCACAGGATTTTCCACCAAAAGGTAAGGTTTACACTGGCCAGAAAGGGTAAACCTCCAAGCACACCCGCATTTCCAGGAATCTGAAAAAATCTAGCCTTAAAATAAAGGTTGTGAAATCTGAAAAAAAAAACCTTGAGCTGAAGCCTTCAGGAATGCTTCAATAACCTTTCGGTTATCCCAACAGCGATGATAAGCCATTCTGCACATCTCGTGCATTTGAATGGAAAGCAGTAATGTTTACTGCCAATAGTGGTGATTGTCTGTCAGGTAGCATTAGAAGACTTGGAATGCGCGTACAATAGCAAAGATTTCTCAAACATGCAATTTTGTTTCGCCAAATTGAAGTTTTTCTAAAAATGCGAATGTTATACGCTCGCTGGCAGGTGAAGTATATTGAATGTGCGCGCCTACCCTCGACTGTGTCGTACTCAAGCGTGTACTCGAGCAGTTGGTTGGACCCCTCGAGTTGCAGTAACACGACACGAGTCGCACCAGCCGTTGTCGTATTATATTTTATTAGACTGTCGCCTCGCCTTGCTTAGCTTACCACTGTCTCATTGCTAGACTAACATTCAATCCTGGCTCTGGCCTCACGAAAGTCACGGCTTTTACAGTAGTCGGCGAGAAGGCAGGAACGGGTTCGAAGCAGCTGCTGAGTTTCAGATCAGGTCTTCCGATCATAGGAGTGTTAAGCCTGCTTGTCAGGTCGAATCGTCCATCACAGCTCGTCGCACTCGTCACATAACCATCGCGCTAGCCAGGTGTGCTGTCCTTGATGGTCCAATAGCCATCGCGCTGCCGCTCTTGATCGGTCGCGATCGCGCTGTCGCCGTGGAAGGCCACAGGCGGAGCTGCGGCTCGTGTGTTGGCGCACCGCCGGTCGTGCAGGGCTGCGCAATGCCAACCGCGCAGCGGACGCCTCTCGGGCGCTCACGCGCTTGATCCCCCGCGACCAGCAGCCGCACGTTCATCGTGCGGCGATCGCGATCATGGGGTTGATTCCCCCGCCGCTGCGAGTACCCTCCGCGAGCGTGGCGCACGGGAGTCCATTTCATCGCGCGCTGCGTCTGTTGCTAGGTGTGCTGCTGCTGGCGTCGCGGGGCCGCTGGGAATGCGTGCATGCTCAGCAGCACGGCGCAGCAGGGACAGGTAAGGCCGGCGAGGTAGCGAGGGGTAGCGCGGGGTAGCGAAGGGTAGCGCGGGGACTGCGAGGCGGGGGGACAATCGGCGGCCGTCAGTCGGCTCGACTCAATGCCACGTCTCCGTCCTCCGTCCGTCAGCCCTGCCTCGCCAAGTCTGTATCTCCGTCTTCGTCTGTCCCCTTTTGCCCCGCGGATGGCCCACCCCTGCAGGGATGCAGCAGACGCCTCTTAACGGAGCCGCCACCACCACCCCCCTCCCATGGTCGGTGCTTCCTCTGCACCTCGCCTTCAGACGCCCCCGCCCCTTTCATTGTTGTGCAACCCTTCTCTTGCTCTCCCTGCCTCTCTCCACACCTGCAGACTTTTCCCTTCCTCTATCCCTCCCTCCGCCCTCTCTAACACTTCACTCCCCCATCCTCCCCTCGCTCCTTCCCTCCCCCTTCCCCCCTCCCCGCTCCCCCCTCTCCCCTCCCCCCTCTCCCCTCCTATTTTTCTCCATATTATCCATTTCTCCCTTGCTTCCTGCCTTGCTGCTTCTCTCTGTTAAAGCCTCGAGTCGTCTCCCCTCGTCTTTCCATATTCCTCATTTAACACATCCCATCCGAGCACACTGCATCCCATCCGAACACACTGCATCCCATCCGAACACACTGCATCCCATCCGAGCACACTGCATCCCATCCGAACACACTGCATCCCATCCGAACACACTGCATCCCATCCGAGCACACTGCATCCCATCCGAACACACTGCATCCCATCTCCATGTGTCGTCATCATGCCATTCGGGTTGTGGTTGGGAACCCACAGGTCGTCTGTTCCACAGCAGCAGAATCTACAGCAGCAGCAGCAGCAGCAAGGGGGGGGTGGCGAGGTGCAGCGGTGGTATCTAGACAACAGTGAGCTCGAGGCGTTCCTCAGGTCCTATGTGGACCGATGCAGCCACATGGCACGCCTCTATAGGTGGGTGATGCAGTCACATGGGGTGATGCAGCCACATGGGGTGATGCAGCCACATGGGGTGATGCAGCCACATGGGGTGATGCAGCCACGTGGGGTGATGCAGCCACATGGCACGCCTCTAGGCGAATGCACAAGGCAACTGTCACAATGTATTGCTACCACCCGCCCTGCACTCCCAACTCTCGTGGTTCCTTCTCTCATCGCTCCCAGAACACTCTTTTTTTGTTGCTGCTTCACTCTTCTCCACTCTTCTCTTCTCCTTTTTTTTTTTTCCTGCATCCATCCTTCCCGTGTCGCATCCTCGTGTTGCTCAACTCGTTCCCTGCCTGCAGCATCGGCCGCAGTGTGCTGGGCGTGCCTCTGGTGAGCTGCAAGTAGCGAGCGTGGAAGGCGGGGATGGGAGTGAAGTGAAGGGGAGGAGTGGGGGTGAAGGGAGGGTGGGAGAGTGACGTTTGTGAGTGGAAATGAAGGGACTAGATGGGATGGGACCCACTTATTGGGTGCATGCGTGTTGTGCTGTGCATGTCCCTGGTGTGCTGTGCTGGTGGTATCAAGGGAGAGGTAGTCAGCTAGGTATGGGCTGAAAGGCCGACTGCCTTGATGCATGGCATGCGATGTAGAGAGTCAAGACATCTCCGCATTCTCCCATCCTTGCTGTCCGTCGTTTTGTCATCCTTCCATCCCCCCCCACCCACCCCTGCGCATTCCTCTTGCTTCTCCACCCTCCATCCATATGTGGCCGGCCATTACCTCTGTGCGCCCATCATCACCCCTGTGCGCCCATCATCACCCCTGTGCGCCCATCATCACCCCTCCCTGTGTCTGCTCCATGCCAGTGGGTGCTGCTCATCACTTTGAACCCAACTGAAAAGCGCCCTCGCTTCACATTCAAGGTGCCCTTGCTTTTCATCTTGTCATATTTATTCTGCAACATTCTTTCTCAAAAACCTGTTTGTTCCTACCCGTAATTCACCTGCCAATCATTGTGTGCCTTGCCTTTGTATGTGAAAAGGACATTCCGGTTTCAGTCGAGCAAATCTTCCCTTGAGCCAGTTCCCCCGACGCGCCCCACCAAGGAGGCTGCTGTGACCCGGGCCAGCCCGTCCCTCCCAGTCTGTGTGCTCATGCCTTGTGCGCCAATGGCCCTCACTTCCATCCCCGCCCTTCCCTCCCTCCCTCCGTCCCTACCCGGCAGTACATAGGCGGTGTGCATGGGGATGAGCCGCTGGGGCGGCAGCTGCTGCTGTACCTGGCGGACTGGCTGTGCAACAACTACCCCTCGCACCCCCTCGTGAGTGCCCCTCGCACCCCCTCGTGAGTGCCCCTCGCACCCCCTCGTGAGTGCCCCTCGCACCCCCTCGTGAGTGCCCCTCGCACCCCCTCGTGAGTGCCCCTCGCACCCCCTCGTGAGTGCCCCTCGCACCCCCTCGTGAGTGCCCCTCGCACCCCCTCGTGAGTGCCCCTCGCACCCCCTCGTGAGTGCCCCTCGCACCCCCTCGTGAGTGCCCCTCGCACCCCCTCGTGAGTGCACCCCCTCGTGAGTGCACCCCCTCGTGAGTGCACCATGCCCCAAGGCACCCTGCCATGACTTTCCCCCAGTACCCCCTCTTTGAGACGTCTCAAAAGGCGGCAGCTGCTGCTGTACCTGGCGGACTGGCTGTGCGCCAACTACCCTTCGCACCCCCTTGTGAGTGCAAGCGGACCTCGTCTGCCACACCCTCCCATAGCTCTCCCCTGCTGCCCTCGCTCCCACCCCTGTTGTAAGCTTGCACGGATCATGTCTCTGAGTGATACGATTGCATCTTGCAAGACTAATGCTCGTGCGCCTGTGTCTGTGTCTGCGTCTGCGTCTGCGTCTGCGTCTGCGTCTGCGTCTGCGTCTGCGTCTGTGTCTGTGTCTGTGTCTTGCAAGGCTGTCGTTGTTGCATACTTAATTTTATACCTGGAAGGTCATTCGTAGTTTAGGTGTAAATATTTTTTCCCAACATCCAGTTAAAATTACTCCTGTGGTTCAACCAATCTGCCACCTTATAGTTACAGATTGGGGGAGAATTCCCATCCCATCCTTCCCCCTTGTTTTTCTCAGCCCAACCTTCTTTGTACAGAAGGCCAAGTGCCTTTTTTCATATCTAATATAATATAAGCTCACTCTTTGAAGCCTCTGTGTGTGTGCACGCGTGTCTGTCTGCACGGGTGTATGTATGTATGTATCTGTATGAGGATGTGTGTGTGCACGCCCGTGTGTATGTGCTGTGCTGTGGGCCCGTCTGCCCAAATCCTGACCATGGGTGGGGGTTGTCTGGCTGCAAGCCACGGCAAGTTGAAACCCCGTGGTTGTGTGTCAACTTTCGTGTGTGCTGTGGGGGATGGTGTCATGATGATGGTGTGGGGAAGCAGCAGAGGTGGCATGGCGTGTATTGGCATGAGAGCGGTGGAATGGTAGTGGTGGGAAGGGAAGGATTTAAGGGTTAGAAATGGCATGTGCTGTGGTGGGTATGCTGTATGTGGTGCGCTGGTGGAATGTGCTGTGGTGTGCTGTGGTGTGCTGCGGTGTGGTGGCATGGCAGGCGAGGGAGGTGGTGGAGGGGGTGGAGCTGCACCTACTGCCAGCAATGAACCCCGATGGCTTCACACTGCACACCAGGGAGAACGCCAACCGAGTCGACCTCAACCGCGCCTTCCCTGACCACGTCAGTGCGCCTCCTCCCCATGCCTCGCTGCACCCGCCCCTCCCCATGCCTCGCTGCCTCTGCCCCTCCCCATGCCTCGCTGCACCCGCCCCTCCCCATGCCTCGCTGCCTCTGCCCCTCCCCATGCCTCGCTCTCTCGATCCCGTTTTCGCGAATTGTGGTTTCGCGTCACGCTATTGTTCTTTCCATCGGGCTGTTCCTGTTTTCTTGATGGTCCAGCTTCCAGCATCCGGACGCAGTATTTAGACGCTTGGCACTAGGGGCACCAGGGACACCAGGGACACTAGGGACACTAGGGACCTAGAGCTTCCTCTGTAACATAACCTCATACCTGCCATTCTCGATAGCAGCACTGTCTCTCATCCGCCCCCTCTCTCTTTTCCCCACACTTCTCCCCCCTCTCTCTGCCCCTCACCTCTCCCCCCCCCCCCTCTCTATCCCGCTTCTCTCCCGGGGGGGCGGCCCCCAAGGCAGTGGTTCACGGAGATGAATGCGGAGGAGGCGGGGCGGCAGGCGGAGGTGCGCGCTGTGATGCGGTGGACGCAGCGCCACCACTTCAGCGCCTCCGCTAGCCTGCACGGGGTGAGGGGGAAAGGGGAGGGGGGAAGGGGGAGGGGGTTGGGGGGAAGGGGGAGGGGGTTGGGGGAGGGAGATGAGGGGAGGGGTGAAGGGTGAAGGATGACGGTTGAGGGGTGAGGGGCAAGAGGGCAAGGCTGCAGGGGGTGAGTGCAGCATGGGGTGGGCTAGGGATGAGGGAAGGGGATGATAGTTGCCGTGTCATGCTGGTTCGTGATCAACCCCCAAAGCTGAAGTTTGGGGTTCAGGTAGAACGTGTGTTCGAGTGACCCACTGTGCGCATCCAACCCCTGCTGCTGCTTCCACTCTTTTTGTCGCCGTTCAGCTTGTGCACTCTTCCCATCTCCTGTGATTCCTCCCATCATTCCCCATTTCCAACTCCCATTTGTCCCCCTTGTCCCCCACGCAGGGAGCACTGGTGGCGAGCTATGCGTGGGACGGCACCAAGGATAGAGGGTACTGCCCTTGCCCACCCCACCCCAACCATGTGCTGCCATGCATCGCCCTGGGCCGCCATCCTTCCTATCTTGCATCCGTTTTCTTCTTCCCTGTGCTCTCATTTATCTGTCCTGCCTCCCCTCCCCTTTTCTCCCCCACACTCCCCTCCCCCCCCCCACTCGACCACATCACTCGCCACTTCTCATCTTCAACCCATCTCTCCCATTCCAACTCCCCCATCCTCTTCCCTCACCCCCCAACCCAACAACCCCCCTCCCTCCAACCGCCCTCTCACCCCGCGCCACCAGAGCAGCACGCACTACGCCGCCTCACCAGACGACGCCACGTTCCGTCTGATGGCCACCACCTATGCCGCCAGCCACCCCTCCATGGCTCTCTCGCGTGACTTCCCTGGCGGCATCACTAACGGCGCCTCCTGGTAGCGCGCCCAGGGGGGAACGGCTGGGGGTGGGGGAGGAGAAGGGAGGGGAGAGGGCTGGGGAGGAAGAGGGCAGGAGAGGGAGAGGGAGAGGGTGGGGTTGGGTGAAGAGGGTGGTGGTGGTTGGGCGGAGCTGAGTGCAATCGTGGGTGGGGGCCTGGGAAAGATTGCTGAATGGTGCCACCTCTTGTCTTCTTTCCTCCCCCATGCGTACCCCATCGCCCCCCATATGTCCCCCCACACCTACCCTATGCCTCCCTCCCCCATGCCTCCCCTATGCCTCCCCCATGCCTCCCCCATGCCTCCCCCATGCCTCCGCCATGCCCCCACCATGCGTCCATGTGTACGCACCCCCCCATGCGTACAGGTACCCTTTGTACGGGGGAATGCAGGACTGGAACTACGTGGAGGCGCGCTGCATGGAGATCACCCTCGAGCTGCACATCGCCAAGTGGCCCTCGCCCTTCCTCGTACGCCCCATGCCCTCGCCCTTCCTCGTATGCCCCTTGCCCGCACGCCCTTCCTTGTACGCCCCTCGCCTTCCTTGTACGCCCCTCGCCTTCCTTGTACGCCCCTCGCCTTCCTTGTACGCCCCTCGCCTTCCTTGTACGCCCCTCGCCTTCCTTGTACGCCGCCTTCCTGTACGCCCCTCGCCTTCCTTGTACGCCCCTCGCCTTCCTTGTACGCCCCTCGCCTTCCTTGTACGCCCCTCGCCTTCCTTGTACGCCCCTCGCCTTCCTTGTACGCCCCTCGCCTTCCTTGTACGCCCCTCGCCTTCCTTGTACGCCCCTCGCCTTCCTTGTACGCCCCTCGCCTTCCTTGTACGCCCCTCGCCCTCCTTGTACGCCCCTTGCCCGCACGCCCTCGTGCTGTGCTGTGCGCGTGTAGGGTCAGAACACGCCAAGTGGCTCTCCCCCTTCCTCGCATTCCCCCCCCTCTCCCCTTATGCCCGATGCCCGTGTGTCCTCTTGCATTACGCGTATTCTCTTCTGATTCTCACCACGGGCGTGCATGCTCCATGCCTATGCTGGGAAGTTATCTTCCAGAGCATCCTCTTCGCCCCTTCCCTCTTCTCTTCATTCCTACCTTCCCCTCTTGCTTTTTCCTCCCCCTGCTTCCCTCTTATGCTGTCTAAGCTATGCCCTTCCCTGTGTGCCACTTCCCTCTGCGCTCCCTCTGCTCTGTCCCCCATGCCACTACCCGGCGTGGCAAACAGCTGCCTCAGCTGTGGGAGGAGCACCGACCGGCCCTGCTCGCCCTCCTCACCACCACTGCCAAGGTGCCCTCCTCACCACCACTGCCAAGGTGCCCTCTTCACGCTGCGCTGTTGCATGCCATGCTATGCACAGTGACGCTTAACACCCCAGCCAGGAATATTGATGACCACTTCACATCCCACTATGCCATGCGATTTCAATTTGACGCCATGCCATGTCATGCCATCCCATGCCATGTCATGCCATGCCATGCCTTACAAGACTAGAATCTTTCAGCACATCTCACCCTCCATCTGACCCTCCCTCCCTGCCCACACGCCTGCCTGCATGCCCATTGCCTTGTCTGCCACTGCTCCGGCCTTCCCTTCCATGCCGCCCACCATGCTGCCGCCCACCATGCTGCCGCCCACCATGCTGCCGCCCACCATGCTGCCGCCCACCATGCTGCCGCCCACCATGCTGCCGCCCACCATGCTGCCGCCCACCATGCTGACGCCCACCATGCTGCCATCCACCATGCTGCCATCCACCATGCTGCCATCCACCATGCTGCCATCACTACACCACAGATGGGGGTGCAAGGCACGGTGCTCTCTGCAGCCACCTCGGCGCCCCTGCCCGCCACCATCGCTGTGCTGGGCATCGACATCCAGGTCACCCGCTCTGCCTCTGCCTGCACTCCTGCCTCCGTGCACGCATGGGTGCATGGGTGCATGGGTGCACGGGTGCATGGGTGCATGGGTGCATGGGTGCATGGGTGCATGGTTGCATGGGTGCATGGGTGCATGGTTGCACGGGTGCATGGTTGCATGGGTGCATGGGCTCACAAACGCATGGGGTGCATGCGTGGGCACATGGGGAGGAAGGGAGGCATTATGGTTTCCCCACATGCACCAACAGCACACCCATGCAAAATACAGATCCCCCGAACTGCGGGGTTCACTTCACTCTGGACACTTTCTGCTTTTCCCCCCTTTCTCCTCCAATCATTAGCCCCTCTCCTATCCACTTCGCTCCCATGTCATCCTCCCCTTGCCCCTACCCATGCACTTGCCATGCCTCTTGCCCCTCCCCATGCCCCTTACCATGCCCCTATACTCATGCCCTTCCCCCCATCCATCCACCCATCCACCCACTAACACTTCCCTCGTCCACGTGCTGCCACCCCCAGGTGATGGCATCAAAGCGCTTTGGGGATTTCTACCGCATGCTGCCTCCGGGCAACTACACAGGTGGGGGGAGAGGGGGGGGGGGGTGAGGGGAAGGGGGAGTGTAGTGCTTCGCCAGGTGGGTTAGGGGGGACTATGTGGGCAGGCAGGTGGGGCTCCCGCCTGCTTCCCCCCATGAATCCCAGGTGATGGCATGGAAGCAATTTGGGGACTTGTACCGCCTGCTGCCTCCAGGCAACTACACAGGTGGGGGGGGGGGGGGGGGGCTGCCAGTGCAGGTGGGTTTCGGGTGGGGCTAACTGGACAGGTGTGTGGGGCTAACTGGACAGGTGTGTGGGGCTAACTGGACAGGTGTGTGGGGCTAACAGGACAGGTGTGTGGGGCTAACTGGACAGGTGTGTGGGGCTAACTGGACAGGTGTGTGGGGCTAACTGGACAGGTGTGTGGGGCTAACTGGACAGGTGTGTGGGGCTAACTGGACAGGTGTGTGGGGCTAACAGGACAGGTGTGTGGGGCTAACTGGACAGGTGTGTGGGGCTAACTGGACAGGTGTGTGGGGCTAACTGGACAGGTGTGTGGGGCTAACTGGACAGGTGTGTGGGGCTAACTGGACAGGTGTGTGGGGCTAACTGGACAGGTGTGTGGGGCTAACTGGACAGGTGTGTGGGGCTAACTGGACAGGTGTGTGGGGCTAACTGGACAGGTGTGTGGGGCTAACTGGACAGGTGTGTGGGGCTAACTGGACAGGTGTGTGGGGCTAACAGGACAGGTGTGTGGGGCTAACTGGACAGGTGTGTGGGGCTAACTGGGCAGGTGTGTGGGGCTAACTGGGCAGGTGTGTGGGGCTAACTGGGCAGGAGTGTGGGGCTAACTGGGCAGGAGTGTGGGGCTAACTGGGCAGGAGTGTGGGGCTAACTGGGCAGGAGTGTGGGGCTAACTGGGCAGGAGTGTGGGGCTAACTGGGCAGGGGTGTGGGGCTAACTGGGCAGGAGTGTGGGGCTAACTGGGCAGGAGTGTGGGGCTAACTGGGCAGGAGTGTGGGGCTAACTGGGCAGGAGTGTGGGGCTAACTGGGCAGGAGTGTGGGGCTAACTGGGCAGGAGTGTGGGGCTAACTGGGCAGGAGTGTGGGGCTAACTGGGCAGGAGTGTGGGGCTAACTGGGCAGGAGTGTGGGGCTAACTGGGCAGGAGTGTGGGGCTAACTGGGCAGGAGTGTGGGGCTAACTGGGCAGGAGTGTGGGGCTAACTGGGCAGGAGTGTGGGGCTAACTGGGCAGGAGTGTGGGGCTAACTGGGCAGGAGTGTGGGGCTAACTGGGCAGGAGTGTGGGGCTAACTGGGCAGGAGTGTGGGGCTAACTGGGCAGGAGTGTGGGGCTAACTGGGCAGGAGTGTGGGGCTAACTGGGCAGGAGTGTGGGGCTAACTGGGCAGGAGTGTGGGGCTAACTGGGCAGGAGTGTGGGGCTAACTGGGCAGGAGTGTGGGGCTAACTGGGCAGGAGTGTGGGGCTAACTGGGCAGGAGTGTGGGGCTAACTGGGCAGGAGTGTGGGGCTAACTGGGCAGGAGTGTGGGGCTAACTGGGCAGGAGTGTGGGGCTAACTGGGCAGGAGTGTGGGGCTAACTGGGCAGGAGTGTGGGGCTAACTGGGCAGGAGTGTGGGGCTAACTGGGCAGGAGTGTGGGGCTAACTGGGCAGGAGTGTGGGGCTAACTGGGCAGGAGTGTGGGGCTAACTGGGCAGGAGTGTGGGGCTAACTGGGCAGGAGTGTGGGGCTAACTGGGCAGGAGTGTGGGGCTAACTGGGCAGGAGTGTGGGGCTAACTGGGCAGGAGTGTGGGGCTAACTGGGCAGGAGTGTGGGGCTAACTGGGCAGGAGTGTGGGGCTTAGGGGAGAGCGGGGTGGATGGCCATGAGGGGGATGCAAGCGGGGTGCATGCACCATCCGGCATGGTGGGTGGGGCGGGCATGGTGGGTGGGGCGGGCATGGATAGCGGAGCGCCCACCATGAGGCAGGAGCAAGGAGGAGATGGCAGTGCCAGGTCTACCATGAAGTGCTACGCTGGAGTTCTTTGGGGTTACAGCAATGCCATGTTGCTTTCCTTTCCTCATGCGTGCTACGTTGGAGTTCTGTCTCGGTTCCTCCGCCTTGCCCTCTCTTTTACTTTCGCCCTCTCTTTTACTTCGCTCCATGGACCCGCTTGTCCCTATCTCCCACTCCCCTGCCGCTGCCCTTTCCCCCTTGCTTCCCCAACTGCCCCCCTCTACTTCCCAGTGACCATATCACATCCGGGGCACATCAACCACACCACCAACATCACAGTGTTCGCAGGCCGCCCCACGCTGCTGCACGTCCTTCTCCGCCCCTCCTCTCCCCCCTCCCACCACGCCCCCTCCATCTTCCAAACCCGCTCCTTGGCCCCCCCGCCCGCCCAACCCTCGGGCCTCGCCGCCTGGCTACCCTGGCACTGGGGCAGCAAGAGAGGAGACGCCACGGGAAAGCAGGGAGTGACAAAGGGGGGAGGGCAGGGAGGCAGGGCGGGGGGGGCAGATGATCCGTCACTGGTGCTGCCTTCACGGCAGCAGGCAGCAGCGGCGGCGGCAACAGGGGGCGTGTTGAGTAGCGATGAGGTGATGTGGGCGGTGGGCATGGGCAGCAGTGCAGCGCTGGCAGCGGCAGTGGTGGCGGTGGTGCTGCTGGGAGGGCTGCTCATGATGGTGGGCCACCGTCGCCGCCGGTTTCTCTTCCCCCACCGCGGCGGCCTGCCTCTACGCTCGCTGCCGAAATGACTCTTTGGTCGACTCAAAAGCCGTCTCGGCGCTGGCAGCTGCGGTGGTGGCGGTGGTTCTGCAGGGAGGGCTGCTCATGATGGTGGGCCACCGCCGCCGATGCCGCCTCCTGCTCTTCCCCCACTGCGGCGGCCTGCCCCTGCGCTCGCTGCTGAAAGTGTGACTGTAGTGAGGCATGATGTGGGCGCAGCGTTAAAGCCCGAGTCCCAAATTGCGAGGCGCGCTGGTCAAGCTTTTAAAACTTGAAGGTGAGGAGCTTGAAAACTTGAAAGAAGCGCACCTGCAATTTGGGACTTTCGAGCTCCCACCAGGGGGAAGTCGAGGTTTGGCTATGTGTTATGAAAAAAAACGAGATTGACGAAATATATCCTCTCGCCACAACCCAAAAACTGAACTCCTCCCCGTCAACCTTTTAAAACTTGTGCAATTTGGGCCAACGGCTTATTTTGTGCAGTAAATGTTGGGATTACAGGCGTTGGGTCATAAGGATGCAGCATTCTATGCAACCCTACATTGCAACCCTGCACACATCATGCCCACAGGGCTCATTGCCCTCTCTAGTGGCGTGCACAGCAGCAGTGCTCCTGTCGACGTGGCTGCCGGTTTCTATTATCACACCGGGGCCTGCCCTGCCCCTGCAGTTGCTGCCTAAAAGTATTACTGTAATGAAGCATGACGTGGGCGCAGCATATTGGTTTTATTTCAACAATTGGTTTTATTTCAACAGATTTGGTGTGGTTACAGGATGCAATGCAACCCTACCATTGCAACAGAGCTCTCATACACACAGAGCTCATAGTGCCCTCTTATGGCGTGCACAGCAGCAGCACCCTACTAACCAACTACCTAAACATTAGTGTTTCAACTCAACACCTGTGTACGCTATGCACATGGCATCAACTGAGCTCCTGTCCTGTGCCTTGTGTCATGTCATCGCATGGAGGCTTTAGATCAACTGTCCATGCACTCCATGTCATCTGCACTTGCACCCGCATCGCCCCCACAACCAGCACCAGCACCTCCCCCAGCAGCACCCCCAGCAGCACCAACCCCAGCAGCATCAGCACAGCCGTCACTGCCACCACCACCCTCCACACCCTCATCCACCGCACCCAGCCCATGAGTGAAGCGTGCTTGCAGCATGTCAGCGTGCCCGGCGCCTGCAGCAAGGGAGTGGTCATGCAGGAAGGCGATGTAGGCTGCTGCTCGTTCCAGCAGTGATGCCGTGTCCAGCCGTGCACTGCCCGGTACCAGTGACTGGTGGGACACATTGGAGGGGACGGGTGGGAGAGGAGGGGGGGGAATGGCAGGGAATGTGAGACAGGGGTTAGGGAAGGCGATGTAGGCTGCTGCCCGCTCCAGCAGTGATGCCGTGTCCAGCCGTGCACTGCCCGGCACCAGTGACTGGTGGGACGCATTGGGGGGAGGGAGGGAGTGATGGGAGAGAGGGGTTAGGGATGGGGATGTATGGCATGTCATAGGTGTGGTGGTGAAACCTGATAAGGTGAGGGTGCAACAAAGGAGAGAGGTGAGGTGGGAGAGCGGTGACTGGTTGGGACAGAACAGAACTCACTCCATGCTCTCTCATCTCAAACACACACACATCATGCAATGGATAGCACTCGTTGAGCGCTCACCTTGAGCACGCCCATTCTGCTGCTGATGTTGGCTCTCCTCCGCCGCGCAGCCACGCTCTGCGCGTCCATGGCAGTGCCTCGCCGCTGCCGCTGTGCTGCCTTCTCCCGGTACTCCTCCAGTGCTGCCGCTGCTTCCGCTGACATGCACACGCGCGCCCCACCCCCCACCTTCCGCCGCTTACCCCCCGCCTGCCCCTCTCCTGCAGCGCTGCCTACCCCGCCTGCCGCCTTGGCAGGTTCTGCTGACTCTGCTCTTGCCTCGGGTGTTGCTGTTGCTGCTGCTGCTGCTGCTGCTGCTGTGTCTCTTTCCGTTGCTATCTCTCCTTCCGCTGCAATTGCTGTGGCATCTGGAGCTGTTCTTGTGCTTGTTGCACCCACCAATGCTGCCGATGCTGCAGGTGTCACCACCACCGCTGCTGCTGCCCCTGCCGTTATCTCCATAGGTGGTGCAGCATCTGCCTTGCCCCCTCCGCGCAATCCCAATGCCACTGTGTGCGCGCCCACGATTTTCCTGATGCCCACTGCTGCTCTCCCTGCCACTGCTGCTCCTGCGCCCACAGCCGCCCCTACCCCAACGGTCACTCCTCCCTCCACGGCCGTTCCCCCCAGAGCTCCGCCATCGGGCCTCTCAGCCCCTTGAGTGCGCCAAGGGGGCAACGCGGCGGTGGCAGGGCAGCGTGCGCGTGAGGGGTTGGCAGGGGGGTGCGCAGGTGAGCGGTGACGGACGGGTGCAGTGGCAGTCCGGGGCGTGCGGTCAGAAGAAAAGGGCGTGGATGGCGTGGGGAGTGCGAGGGGGGAAGGGAGCGTGAGTGCTGAAAAGCTGGGGGAAGGGGCTGTGAGGGCTGGGGGAGAGGACGGAAGAGCGAGGGGTGGGAGGAGGAGGGGCGAGGGCGGTCCAGGCCGCACTCTCCCGCCTCCTCTGTGCGCGGCGGGGTCCCGCCAATCAGCACCACCACCAGCGATGCGATACGTTGCCGGAGTGCGAGTCGCGCCAGCGCCCCCGCTGCTTCTATAGGCAGGCGGCGTTACGACGAGGCTATTCCGCGCGCCCTCGCTCCTTCCCAGTTCGTCCGCGCGCCGTTTCAGCGCGCCTGGCGGAGGTGGGATGCGCGAAGACGCGGTAGGCAGCGCGAGAAGTGCGCAGGCGCGGCGGCCGTGGCCGTCAGCCGCCCGCGCGCGGAGGAGCGGCGGAGCTGCGCCCACGGTATGCGACGCCCCGCGCACGTGCCTCGTCGCCGCACCAATGGGCTCAATGCCGTCGGCAGGCATCTGCGCGGCATCAGGAGGGGTAGAGGCGGAGAGAGTGCTTCCGCGCTCGTGTAGCGGGCCGACGGCGGAGGGGAGCGGGCCGATGCTAGAGGAGGGGAGAGAAAAGAAGAGGGAAGGGGAGGTGGAACGAGGGGAAGGGGGCGCAGAGGGAGACGGAACAGCCAAAGCCTGCATCACGATATCCGATGTGGCCGGCGGCGGAGTCGGTGGCGGGGCGGCATCATGGGCGGCATCGTGGGCGGCGGCGTGCAGCTCAGGAAAGAGGTCCTTCACCACGTCGTCCCACGGCGTCGCGTCGTCATTGCCGGAGTCGCACCCCTCCTGCGCGCCGCAACCCTCCTGCGCGCCGCGCCCCTCGTCGTCGCATCCCTCTTCGTCGTCGGTGCGCCCGTCGAGCCTCTCTATGCTCCGCCACAGTTCGTCCCCCAAAACGATGGAATCCAACGCCGCCAGCGACAGTCGTGGCGACAGTCTCGGCGACACTGTCGGCGACAGTCTCGGCGAAGCGCCCGGCATGATTAAGGAGCCGCCGAACGGAGACCATAGCCGGTGCTCGTCGTGCCACGTGCCATTTTCAGGCGAGCGGCACGACCCGGAGTTTCCGTAAGTCACGGTGTGTGGCGTCGCGTCGCCTGCGTCGCTCGCGGAGAGCTGAGGGATTGCTGCGACTGGCGTCGTAGCCTTCGCACAGTCCGCCGCAGCGAAGACTAACGGCTTGTCGCAGCCTGCAGCGCCTGTCGACAGTTTGGCCTCACTGTCGCCGTTGATTAGCATTTGCCAGCCGTGCCCCTCGTCTCCGCCGTCGATTTCATCCCTCATGCGAAGCACACTCGTAGACCACGTCGCGGCGCGGTGCGGACGCGGTTCTCCTGATTGCCGCGGTCCGAAACCCGGACCCGGCGCAATCCGTTCGGCCAGTGGCGGGAGTCGTAAGAACGAGGGCGTATCACTGCGCTGAGAGTCAATTCTACGCAAGACCGCGTGGTCAGCCACGTGGCAGCCGCTGACGCTCTTTCCGCCGCACACCACGCTGTCGCCCATGCTCTCCCCCTCGTCGCCATCCCACCCGCCGTTGTCGCAGCTTGGCGTCGCATCGCAATTTCGCGCTGCATCGCAATTTCCCGAGCCGCACGACTCTTGAGCCTCCTCTTGCAACCACACAGACGACTCGCCAAATATTCGCTCTGAAACGCGCTGCGCACGCGTCGAGGATCTATTTCGGCCTTTTGCCTCGCGAAATCTGAGGGCGACACCTTGTTTCAGCGCGTAGTAGGGACGAGAACCCTCTAGCGCCATGGCGAATATTTTTGTTTGGAGTGTATCTCTGGATGGATTTGTTCCCGAAGCGCCCAGAACAAGCTCTGGACGAATCAGTCGATCGGAAAGCGTAGCAGGTGTATTATTTGAGCTCGTTTGCTGCGGCTGATCGTATTCCTAAAATTCCACGTCTGGAGTTTGCCAAGAGCTAAGGCGCATCCCTAAATCCCCTGGCCTGACGCGGCATTCACTAGCGAGAGGCGAAGAGCAGCAATAATTTTGATCGACTCTGTTGATACAGTAGTGGGGCCAAGCGCGATGGGTCGGTGGAAGGGAAAGGGGCAATAATGTTGGGCTGTCCTGCCGCGACACACGCTGGAATGGAACTGGCCCAATAATTCTGCGGCTCGGGAGGAGACAGCAGGAGAGTCAGAAGCGACTCGCGACAGGGATTACGCAAACTAAATATACGCTCTACAAAGTGCGTCTAGAAAGTCGTCTAGGGTTCATTATCATAGTTTCATTCATTGATATGTGTTTCGAAACCTTTTATCTGATCTTGCCTTCATATCTAGCCTACTCTTCTTCCATCGCAAAAAACAAAAGCGATATGGATTCAAATTTTGCCTTTAGACGTAATTTGGTGAATATGTAGCATTTGGTTCGTTCAATTTGAATGGTCTGACCGTGAGAAACCAGACTAATCAAGCATACTCAACTTACACTTTCTAGACCAAGTGCACGTCATGTGTTGACGCTAAAACGGGTATTTTCTCCAGAATGTCGCTTGCTCGTGACTCCGCTTTGCCATCCATCCTCCCCTCCCACTCAGGTACCACCACCTGAGCTGACCTGAGGCCACACCCAGAACACACGTGGCAGCACATGATACATTGAATCTACCACTCTTCGCCCGCAGCGCCGCTGCCACAGGTCTCGAATCCCTCGCACGTGACCACTGTGGCCCCATCCTTGCGACGATCTGCACGCCGTCGCACGACCATCGCACCCAGTCGCCTCGTCCGTCCTTCCCTGTGCACATCTATCTGTCGCCCGTCTGCCCGTAGCACGCATAGTGCGACCGATTCGGTCGCACGCCATGGTCGCAGACGACTCCCCTGCGACGCTGTTCGGCGTGTCGCGGCCGCTACTCACCTTCCTCGCCTGCCTCCTCTCCTCCATCCCCGCCGCTGCGCTCGTGCCGCTCCTCCCCTCCCCCTCCACCCGCCACGTGTACAATGTCGCCGTCGGCGCTGCCACGTGTTGGTTCGCCTATGGCGGACTGAGAGGTGCGCGTGGTGGGGGAAGGGGGAAGCGGGAGGGGGGGAGTGAAGTAGGGGGGGTGGCGGAGGGGTAAAGGGGAGGAAGTGGTCGGAGGGACCGCGGTTGTGTGAATGGGGGTATGATGGCAACGGAGGGGAGAGGAGAAAGGAAGGTAGGGGAGAGGACGGGAGAGGAAGAGTTGAGGAATTGGTGAGGAAAGGGTTGAGAAGGGGAGGGAAGGAGGGAGGAAGGCGGGAAATAGGGAAGAGAATGGGTGGCTTTGGGGGGAAGTGGAGGGCTGGGTGTGGGGTTGGAGGTGCGAAGGGGAGAAGGGAGAGTGGGCAAGTGTGGGTTGCAGGAAGGGGAGTGTGTTGGAAGGCGGGTGGCTCTCTCAGTAACGACCACCCTATCCTCCCATAACCCCCTCTAACCACATTCGCCCGTCCTCCAATTCCCCCATTCCCCTATTTCCCATTCCCCATTCACCCATCCCCCCATTCCCATTCCCCCACCCCATTCATCCAATGAACAATGTCTCCATTTTCGTGCATGCATGCAGCGAGTGCGGCCATCTGGGGGCTCACCCTCGCCTGCTACGCGGCCATGGTCGTCCTGCCTCGCCGCCTCTCTGGCTACATTGTCTTCCTTGTCGCCTTCGCCTTCCTCATCTTCTGGTCTGCCCCCCTTCCCATCAATGCACTGCCCCGCCTCCCATCCCATGCTCTCGCTACTTCTCCTGCTGCCTTCATCACTCTCACCCCCGTCGTCATCGATCTCCTGCCCCCCATGCTCTCTCCAATCCTTCACCGCCTCATGCTTTTGCCTTCCCATGCCCTATCCCGTCACTCGCCTTCTCTCTCGCATCTCTCCCCCATGGCCCCCATGGCCCCCATGACCCCATGCGCCCCATGCCCCCGTGCCTCGCCCCCATACCTCCCATGCCCCCATGCCTCGTCCCCCATATCTCCCATGCGTGGTCCCACCAGCCATGCGACGAGCCTAGATGCGAGTGCGTGGAGGCGGGGAGACATCGACTTCACGGGCACACTCATGATCGTCACTCTCAAGCTCGTGGGGGCCGCCATGGACTGCCAGGACGGCAGCATGGGACAGCAGGACGGCAGGGAGCGGCAGGACGGCAAGGAGAAACAGGACGGCAGCCCACCAGTACGTGAGTTCTGAGATTCGTACTGAGAGATGCCTTGGCTGATGCCTATGCGATTGAGTAATTGTCGTTCATGCTCGTTCTGAAGCTCCTGGCACCATGGACTTCCAACACCGTATGCACGGCATGGTGTGGCATGGTGTGGCATGGTGTGGCATGGTGTGGCATGGTGTGGCATGGTGTGGCATGGTGTGGCATGGTGTGGCATGGTGTGGCATGGTGTGGCATGGTGTGGCATGGTGTGGCATGGTGTGGAATGGTGTGGCATGGTGTGGCATGGTGTGGCATGGTGTGGCATGGTGTGGCATGGTGTGGCATGGTGTGGCATGGTGTGGCATGGTGTGGCATGGTGTGGCATGGTGTGGCATGGTGTGGCATGGTGTGGCATCGTGTGGCATCGTGTGGCATGGTGTGGCATCGTGTGGCATGGTGTGGCATGGTGTGGCATGGTGTGGCATGGTGTGGCATGGTGTGGCATGGTGTGGCATGGTGTGGCATGGTGTGGCATGGTGTGGCATGGTGTGGCATGGTGTGGCATGGTGTGGCATGGTGTGGCATGGTCTGGCATGGTATGGTGTGACACTTTCTCCCCACCTCCCTTTCACCCCTCATCCTCCCTCTACCCCTACCTCGTCGCCTCTCCCCCGTCCCCTCCCCCCGTTGACTTTTCCCCGCCCTCCCCCAGCGCGCCAGCAGAGCCTCCCCCACAGCGCTCCCCCGCGTGCCCCCTCTGCTGCCGTTCCTGGGCTTTGTCTTCTTCCCCGCCGCGCTGCTCGTGGGCCCGCCCTTCCCCTTCGCTGCTTACCACGACTACGTTGAGGGGCGCGGGGTGAGGAGGGGGAGAGGGATGAGGGGGATGGGAAGGATGAAAGGGGTGTAAGCGTGAGAGGGGTGGGAGGGGTGAGAGGGGTGGGATGGGTGAGAGGGATGGAAGGGGTGAGAAGGGTGGGAGGGGTGCGGGAGGTGAGGTCTCCACGCCCTTCCATACCATGCCGTCAAGCCACAACACTGTTCATCAAAACACTCCCCATCACCCGCTTTCAGCCTTCATCAACTCTCCCCCCTCCCCATTCCCTCTCCATTCCCCCATCTATTCCCCTCCTCCATTTCTCCATTCCTCCCCTCTGTCCCCCCTCGCCCCTCCGCTGGCAGCACTGGTCCGCGCTCTACCCTCACAAGCACGCACCTGCACCAGCCGGCCCTGCCTTTCCACCGCGTGTGCTCCCAGCGTGCCGCGCGCTGTGCAAGGCGCTGCTGTGCCTCGCCGTCTACCACTCGCTCTCCCTCCTCCTCCCCCCCTCCGCGCTCACTCAGCCCGCCTTCTTCGCGCGCCCCTTCCTCATCCGGTGAGCTGCCCCTCCCCCTGCCCCTCCCCGTGCCCCTCCCCGTGCCCCTCTCCCCCCACCACGCACGTGGGTGCAGGGGGCGCCGACTCGCGCTGACTCCCGATGACTCTCTGTTTCTGTGACCCCCCCTCCCATCCCATGTGCAGCCATGCCCCCCATCCACCGTGCCCACAGCAGGTGGATGCACGTGCTGCGGTCGCTTACAACTGGATGTTCTACTACATCCACGTGTTTAAAGAAGTGTTTTAAAGACGTCTCAAAACACTTCTTCAAACACATGCACGTGCTGCTGTCGCTTACTACTGGATGTTCTACTACATCTGGGCCATCTCTTCACAATATCAACTACCCCCCACCCACTCCTCACACCAGGCAGGTGGCGCTCACCCTCCTGGCCCACTGCTGAATGCCCTACGTCGTCTGAGCCCTCTCTTGACATTCACCAATACCCCCCACTTATTGTGCACATGGCTGGCAGGTGCGGGCAGGTGGCGCTCACCCTCCTGGCGTATCGCTGGATGTTCTACTGCATCTGGGCCCTTTCTTCACATTCCCAAATATCCCCCACTCACTGTGTGCACATCATGGCAGGTGCGCGCAGGTTGCGCTCACCCTCCTGGCCTATCGCTGGATGTTCTACCTCACCTGGACTGTCTGTTAACATTCTCAACAATCCACCCCAGTGGGAAGGTGTGGGCAGGTGGCACTCACCCTCCTCGCGTACTGCTGGATCTTCTACTGCATCTGGGCCGTCGCTTCACATTCTCAACAAACCCCCACCCATTCCCCCACACCACGCAGGTGTGGGCAGGTGGCGCTAACCCTCCTGGCGTACCGCTGGATGTTCTACTTCATCTGGGCCGTCGCTGAGTCCGCCCTCATCCTCTCCGCCTTTGGCTTCTCGGGCTTTAAGCCCGCCAAGACAGGCCACGAAGAGGGTGATCAGGAGGGGAGGGAAGGAGTAGGCGGGCAGCAGCAGCAGCAGCGGCTGGAAGCAGACTGGTAAGTCGGTTGCGTGTTGGCTTTAGAGGGGATGGCAAGGCGGTAGGGCATGAGAAATGGATTGTGATGAAGCAACCCTAACTTGCGTGTTTTCTCTCATGCCTGACATAATGCTCCCTCTCGGAGGGGTTCCTACCACCTGCACCTCTCCGCGTGCTCCATCTCCCTCCTCGCCTCCCTGCACACCCTGCTCCCGCTGTCCCTCCATTCCTCCTCACTCCACCCCCCCTCTTCCCCGCTTGTATTCTCCTTCCCCTTATTTCACTTTAACTTCCTTCCTGCTTCTCGTGCTCCCGTCTCCCATTCTCCTTGTCACGACCCCAACGCCTTCCTCCCCATCACCTGTGCTTTATTGAGCCCTCGCTCTCCACATAGATTTGAGTTCACCTTGTGAATCGCGCTCACCCTACTTCACCCTACTTCACCCCCCGGTGTCCTCATGTGCTATGTTTCCCATGCCCCCCTGGCCGTGCACCCCGCCAGGAGCGGGGCGAGCAACGCGCACATATGGGTGGTGGAGGTCACGGGCAGCGCAGCACAGCTGCCCTCCAACTGGAACATCGGAGTCAGCAACTGGCTGCGCACATGTGCGTCCGCTGCTCGCCCCTCCCCTCCCCTCCCCACCTTTCCGTTTCCCTCCCGTCCCCTCCCCTCCCCTCCCCTCCCCTCCCCTCCCCTCCCCTCCCCTCCCCTCCCCTCCCCTACCCTCCGCTCCCCTCCCCTCCACTCCCCTCCCCTCCCCTCCCCTCCCCTCCCCACTTTTCCGTTTCCCTCCCGTCCCCTTCCCTCCCCTCCCCTCCCCTCCCCTCCCCACTTTTCCGTTTCCCTCCCGTCCCCTTCCCTCCCCTCCCCTCCCCTCCCCTCCCCCTCTCATCGCTCCCCATCTCTTCCCCCCTCCCTCCCCATTCTCTCCCCCTCTCTCCCCTCCTCGCCCCACTCGTTTCTCTCTCACTAGCAGTCCTTGCACCGCCATAGCATTCAGTGTGCTGAGCAGCAGTGAGGTCCGGGCATACATGGGGCATACATGGGGCATGCATGGGGCATACATGGGGCATACATGGGGCATACATGGGGCATACATGGGGCATACATGGGGCATACATGGGGCATACATGGGGCATACATGGGGCATACATGGGGCATACATGGGGCATACATGGGGCATACATGGGGCATACATGGGGCATGCATGGGGCATACATGGGGCATACATGGGGCATACATGGGGCATACATGGGGCATACATGGGGCATGCATGGGGCATACATGGGGCATGCATGGGGCATGCATGGGGCATGCATGGGGCATGTGTGCACTCACAGGTTGACATCAGGCTGCCAGTACACTGTGCAAAATATTCCGTCAAGGACATTTCTAAACCTTTCTTTCTGTCCATGCATGTAAGTGTTCACTCATTCTAATATCCGCATGCATGTGCATCTGTGCATGTATGTATGTGTGTGTGCACTTGCATGTGTGCATGTGCATGTGCGTGTGTGCATGTGCGCATGTGCATGTGTCCATGTGTGCATGTGTGCATGTGTGTGTGTACGTGCATGCATGCAGATGTGTATGACCGCATGACCCCCCCATCAGGAAAGCCCACCCTCACAACACTCCTTGTGACACAAGCTGTCAGCGCGCTGTGGCATGTGAGTCATGTGGCATATAGATAGTATCTTATGAGCAAGTGGCATATGCGAGTCTTTGGCATGTGGCATGTGAGACTTGGTTGATGCTTGTATGGGTATGGCATATGAAGATTTGTTTTTACTGAACTCTTTATCCATCCATCCGTCCGTCCGTCCGTCCGTCCGTCCGTCCGTCCGTCCATCCATCCATCCATCCATCCATCCATCCATCCATCCATCCATCCATCCATCCATCCATCCATCCATCCATCCATCCATCCATCCATCCATCCATCCATCCATCCATCCATCCATCCATCCATCCATCCATCCATCCATCCATCCATCCAGCCAGCCAGCCATCCATTCAACCCTCCCCATCTGTCTCCCTACCCTATCTCTTTCTCCGTCCCCTCCAATTTGCATGTGCATGCATGTATGCATGCATGTTGATGTATGCCTGTATGTTGATGCATGTATGTCAATGCGTGCCCATATATGCATGTATGCATACATATTGATGTCTGCATGTTGATGCATGTGTGACATGTATGCTCACATATGAATGTATGCATGGATGCATGCACACACGGATGCATGGCCTGTTTCTTGACGCCATGCCATGCATGTGGGGCCCATGCCATGTGCGCCCACGAACCACAGGGTCTGCATCCGGGCTACTACCTTTTCTTCCTCTCTGCCGCCATCGCTCAAGACGCCTCCAAATGTAACTCCCTGCCCGCCCTGCTCCCTGCTCCCACCCGCCCTGCTCCCTGCTCCCACCCGCCCTGCTCCCTGCTCCCACCCGCCCTGCTCCCTGCTCCCACCCGCCCTGCTCCCTGCTCCCACCCGCCCTGCTCCCTGCTCCCACCCGCCCTGCTCCCTGCTCCCACCCGCCCTGCTCCCTGCTCCCACCCGCCCTGCTCCCTGCTCCCACCCGCCCTGCTCCCTGCTCCCACCCGCCCTGCTCCCTGCTCCCACCCGCCCTGCTCCCTGCTCCCACCCGCCCTGCTCCCTGCTCCCACCCGCCCTGCTCCCTGCTCCCACCCGCCCTGCTCCCTGCTCCCACCCGCCCTGCTCCCTGCTCCCACCCGCCCTGCTCCCTGCTCCCACCCGCCCTGCTCCCTGCTCCCACCCGCCCTGCTCCCTGCTCCCACCCGCCCTGCTCCCTGCCCCTGCCCGCCCTGCTCCCTGCCCCTGCCACCACCCATGCCCGCCCTGCTCCCTGCCCTCCCACCAGCCGTGGCCCTGCCTTTCTTCCATTCCACGAGTTCGCATTGCCGCATGGCTGCTCATCCTCATCTTCTTATGCCATCTCGCCCACCCCTCCGGTCCATGCCGTGCATCCACACCTTATGCTCCACATTCCTTCTGCTCCCATTTTGCTACCCTCTCCCTTCCCAACTCTCTCCAACCACCCCTCTACGCCTTCACTGCTGCACCACCTGCACTCCACCAGCTCCCTCCGAATCCTTCCTCTCAGGCACTCTTGTCGGCGCACCTGCTCCTCCCAACAACCCTCATCTTTCCCCCTCGCCCCTCCCACCACCCCTCTATGCCTGCAGTGCTGCACTACCCTGCGCCACCAGCCCCCTCCCCCCCTGCACACCGCCTCTTCTCCAGCACTCTCTTCAGCCACTCGCCCATCCCAACCCTCCTTTCTTCCCCCGCCCCTCCAACCCCCCCCTCTATGCTTCTGCAGTGCTGCACCGCCTGCACCAGTCCATCCCCCATCACAGGCGGTGGCAGCGCCGGGTAGCATGGATAGCACAGATGCTCTACACACGTGTGCTCGTGGGGTATGCGCCCCTGGGCTTCATTGTGAGTGCCTCCATCCCCTCGCCGGGCTTCATTGTGAGTGCTGCCATTCCAACTCCCAGCATCGTCTCATCCGCTCTTCATGCCTTGCTAGGCACGTGGCATCCGCACACATGCGGCTTGCCTGTGCTCATTCCGAGTGCTGTGCTGCTAACATACAGTCACTGATTTGGCTCTTTCACGAGATCATAGGGGGTCCTGAGCGTAGGAAATATTTGGGTGCGTGCTGACATGCTGACAGCATGTTGAGCTCGCTGACATGGCAGCGTGTTGAGCTTGCTGACATGGCAGCGTGTTGAGCTCGCTGACATGGCAGCGTGTTGAGCTCGCTGGCACGGCATTGCCTGGTGGGCGTGCTGGGCTGGGTGCATCTGCCCTAGAGTCCTCCATGGCAGCCGACTCCTCATCCTCGTGCTTGCCGTGCTGCACACTGTGCCATGATGTCTCTCTTTCCCTGAATCATGACCATCATAATGTGCCAGGTTAGGATGAACTTGTCAGTTACAGGTAATACAAAACCGCCTGTGTCTGCCCCTTGCCCATTGCCCTCCGTGTATGCAGCTGCTGCGGGCGGACCTCACATTCAGAGTGTGGCGCTCCCTCTACTTCTTTGGCTCTATCCTGCCGCTCCTGCTCTCCGTCTTGCTTCCTCCACTCATTCCTCCATCCAACCGGCGAAAGAAAGACCAATAAGGGACTACGGGTACCCAGTGCAAGAATGCTATCCTGATGGGTTTTCATTGGGGGGATACGTTATGGTACCAGCATGAGATGAGACGTACAATGCAATGTACATTCCTGTCTGCAGTACATAACTTTTGTGAAGCTCTACCACGGTAACTCGATGATTATAATGAATGTTGCTCAAATTTCCGTAACACAACTTCCTTGGAGTACGGTAGTAATTTTAATAATGGCATTTCAAGCTCTATACTAGATTGGTTATGATAAACCTGTGCTATGCTTCTGGTATCTAAAGACTCGCTCCAACAATGGGTTCCAATGAGGTAAATGGGGTTACCTTGATATTTTTTCTAGTCATATTCATGAAACTTGAACTTGATTTGGGAGGACTTTTAGGTGAAGTCTTAATTTAACATTTCCGTCCGTAATACACTTGATACACTCAAATCGTATCATCCCCAATGGACCATGGGGAATGTGGCCTGGTTGCTCTTCCTCGGCAGATCCCCCTCGAGGTCGCCTATGGCACTCACGATACGGGGGCAGCTGAAATGTGAAGTGGCGATCCGATCCAATTCGCACCCGTCGGTTCGAGTGGGTTGGTGCTCCTCCCAAGAGCCAGCAGTGCTGCCGAGGGTGTTCTGGTTGGCGGGGAAGGCGGGGGTTCTGTTGAGCCCCAAGAAAGCGCCTCCCTCAAGTCACTGATACGAGCCGCCCCTCTCACATGAGGCCGCAGCTTTCATGACCGTGATTGCGTCTGCCTCGGTGGTGAAGTAATGAGTGAGACATGCAAGGAAGTCGTGACTGATACAGTGAATATCAGTAGAGCGGTGAATTTCGTTCCTTTAGACTGCCTTGCTGTAATGACTTTTTAGGAAGAGTCTTCTTTACGATGCCAGGCTAGACAGAGTGCGTAGATATTTGACGGGGTGGGACTACACGTGTTTTTAAATATCAACGACGTGTCAAGAACTTGATACTTCGTCCCCCTTTCGCCATCCGACACCATTATCCGCGATGCACAACGCAAACCCGTCCCGAACAACACTCCGTTCCTCTTCATCCGCTTTTGACAAGGCGAGGGGGCCAATGGGGTACTCGCTATGGCGTGGAAGACGGTCGACGAAGAAATTGATACTGTATGGCGCATCACGTGGAGAGATGGGACGAGTGCGGTCGCGGATTCCCTGGGAACAGTACTGCCGGGTTTCCTACTTTTGAACCATGGGTGTCAATTCCTGGGTTGAGTGCTTCGAAACTGGTTCCTACTACCACAAGCAGAGATTCGCGACCACCGAAACTTTAAGCAAGTGTTTATGCAGAGTTCCGAAACTCACACCAGTTCCGTAAAACCTAATATTCACGCCCTCAGAGCTCTTGCTGACGGTTACCAGTTGGTGCTGACGTGGAGGATCCGACGTTTGAGGCTCATAATGTACCGACACGTACAATGATGTTCCTACGCAGCTTCAGGATTTTGTCCTTGCTCCTTGCCTGAGGTCCGACCTTCTCGAAGTTTACGTCGAACCGTCAGCCTCATTGCGCCGCAATCTGCGATTTTCCGCCAGCGTCGAAGCGGGATTTACTTGCAACAGTGTGCTACGTGCACGCCGTGCGTACTCAGGATACCTTGGATGCAATTGCGAGCAAGTCTCGACGTGTCCATCATCGTCCGAATGAGGAGCTGGTCCAGATGGGAATAAATATACTTCTTCGACAAGCATTTCAGTGTCTCACAGTTCGATAAGCTTGAATCGTCGCTCGACTATTTTCACAATTTCAAGATACACGAAGCACACTCAGTCGCTCCAACAGAATCATTTTGAACATGGGGAGCGGTAACGACGTGATGGTCGACTCTCAGCGTGCCGTGTCTTCTCAGCAATCGCCTGCTGTTCTGGCCATGTCTCAGAACGATGACATTCCCTCCTTACGACGCCTGCACGACAGCCGCGCGGATCTCGATCTGCTCGCACTGGAAGGCCGGCTCTCGTTTCTGGACGCACAGCGCGAACTCAATGCGATTCGATGCGAACAGTTTGTTACCATGTTACAGTCGTACCTAAAGGAAGGCGAGAGCGACGACGACGACGACGAATGGCGACATTACTCAAGGGAGTTGGGCAGTGCAAGGCCGATCGCGTCACATCTCAGCACAGCCACTCGCGCGCATTCAGTGCCGAAGATGGGCAGTCAGAAAGGGCGCGGCAGACGTCGCCGTAGCAGCAGCCATGCCAGTCCGAGCATTAACCAAGGCGTGGTCTCAAACCGCCTAACACGGTGGGCTTCCTGCGAGCAGAACTCCACCAGCGCCGCCGAGTGGTGAAGCAGTTGGTTTGATGAACCTCCCAAATTCTCTTCGCACAAATTCCCTGGTGTACATACCGTATGTCTCTCTTAGAGAAAAACCTTGATATGGGACTATTTTTTATCGGACAGAAAATGTCTGGTTCCTTCTTTTTTAGGCCCTGTTTTCAAGTTGTACCATAATTTACTATTAAATAACTCTCTTAACGGTAACAATATAATGTATACCTGATTTCAAATTCAATAGAAAATCCTAATATTGATAACAATGGCAGCGGAAGATATGCACCAAGCCACAGATATAGGCATAGGCGGGCCTTGCTGCGATCAGAAGTTGATCGACCCTAGGATCATCTCAGGAAGGTTCGCACACAACTAGGTAGTGGTTGATACAATCTGAACCGTCTTATAGGATCGTCTCAGGTTGATCGCACGGAGTGTAGCAGCGGAAGGTTTGCTTGGTAATGTCGGGTACGGACTCTGTCAGTAGAAGGAGATTTGAATCTCGACAGAAGTGACTAATACAATGCGGTACACGGGTTTATATAGGAATACAGTGGAATACGAAAGGTCCTAGCTAGCCATGTACTCTGAGGGGGTACATTCCCCTTAGGGCTAATCTAGATGCAGGATTGCAACAGTGCGGTTCGGTAACCGTTTGAAGTTTTCCCGCGCTTTGCACTTTGAATTCTTCCTGCTTGTAAGCTGTCTTCAATAACTGTCTTGTCGCTCGGTCTTCGTCATCGCTGCAGTCGTCTTTGCGTTAAGGATTCGTTACTTAGGAATCTTTATTCAACAATTCCATATCGTAACTGTCAAATTACATTTGTATGCTTCTAGGCTGTAGTGGGGCATACTCTAGTGAGTACAACCCTTTAGGGTTTCATACTTGTACTCATCCTGCTGCTCAATGCAACCATTCATGCCTGCTTATTCTAACATGGTATTAGAGCAGAATCGTTCCTAGGGCCCACCGAACGTTCCGACCTGCCCTAACCGTAATTTTTTTCTTCCTACGCTGCCCCTGCAGCCGCGCTGCCCTTGCAGCCCGCGCGCTGCCCCTGCGACCGCGCTGCCCCTGCAGCCGTGCTCGCCCCTGCGACCGTGCTGCCCCTGCAGCCGTGCTCGCCCCTGCGACCGTGCTGCCCCTGCAGCCGTACTCGCCCCTGCGACCGTGCTGCCCCTGCAGCCGTACTCGCCCCTGCGACCGTGCTGCCCCTGCAGCCGTGCCTGCCCCTGCGACCGTGCTGCCCCTGCAGCCGTGCCTGCCCCTGTGGCCCGCGTGCTGCCCCTGCAGCCCGCGCGTTCGCCCCTGCAGCCCGTGGGCGCTACCTCTGCAGCCCGCGCGCCGCCCTGCCGAGCCGCGCGTCGCCCCTGCAGCCCGTGGGCGCTGCCCCTGCAGCCCGTGGGCGCTGCCCCTGCAGCCCGTACGCCGCCCTGTAGAGCCGCGCGTCGCCCCTGCAGCCCGTACGCCGCCCTGCAGAGCCGCACGTCGGCCCTGCTGCCCGTGGGCGCTGCCCCTGCAGCCCGCGCGCCGCCCTGCCGAGCCGCGCGTTGCCCCTGCAGCCCGTGGGCGCTGCCCATGCAGCTCGTACGCCGCCCTGCCGAGCCGCGCGTCGCCCCTGCAGCCCGTGGGCGCTGCCCCTGCTGCCCGCGCGCCGCCCTGCCGAGCCGAGCGTCGCCCCTGCAGCCTGGGCGCCGCCCTGCCGAGCCGCGCGCCGCCCCTACAGCCCGCGCGCCGCCCTGCCGAGCTGCGCGTCGCCCCTGCAGCCCGTGGGCGTTGCCCCTGCAGCCCGCGCGCCGCCCTGCCAAGCCGCGCGTCGCCCCTGCAGCCCGTGGGCCACGCGCAACCCTAAACCCAAAAAAAAAAAAAAAAAAAAAAAAAAACTACTGCTGCTGCTGCTACTCGTGCTACTGCTGCTGCTGGTGGAGGTGCTGCTGGGAGTGCTGGAGGTGCGGCCGCCCAGCCCCACTGAGCCGCCCTGCTGCTGCTACTACCACTGCTGCTGCTACTCGTGCTACTGCTGCTGCTGGTGGAGGTGCTGCTAGGAGAGTTGGAGGTGCTGCTGGTGCTGGAGGAGCTGGAGGTGCTGGACCTACTCCTGACCGTCACTGTCGCGGCAGTTGCTGCGACCAGGGGTGGACGGCAGCGGGCACTGCCTCTCCCGGACGACCCCACCCCTCAGCAGCTTCGTGAGTGGTTGGTTCAGCGAGGCCGTCCTAGTGGTGGAGGTTTTGATTTTATGTGGCCTAAGCGACCTCGCGACTGTGCTTCTCAGCAATGCGTCCCTGGCTGTGTCGAGGTTACTGCTCTCGGTTCTAGTGAGTCTGCTGCCGCTCCAGGTGCTAGTGAGTCTGCTGCCGGTGAGTCTGCTGCAGCTCTAGGTGCCCGTGAGTCTGCCGACGCTCTAGGTGCTAGTGCGTCTACTGCCACAGGTCCTGCCTCAGCTGAGGTCTTGCACAACTTCACGCTTGACTCAGGTGCGTCACGTTGCTTCTTTCGTGATTGCACCACAGTCACACCACTCACAGCACCTGTCCCAGTCTCACAAGCTGACTCCTCTGGGGGCCCAGTAGTTGCGAGAGCCTCCACGGTCCTCCCTTGTCCAACAGTCCCCTCCGGCTCTCTGTCAGGTCTCCACCTCCCCACGTTCTCGACGAACTTGGTGAGCAACGCTGCCATTCAGGATGTCTGGGTTGATACCTTTATTCCTGGAGGGCAGCGTGTGGCGATCTGTACGTGCTCCCGGACTGGCCGTCACCTGGCTACGTTCACTCG